AGCTGGTCCCTGACAGGTCTAACCACAGATACCAAGATAGCTGGTCTAATTATAGGGAGGTTCAAGTGTGTGTACCACGTACCATGGGGTACAGATGGTGGTCAATACCACGTACCATGGGGGGTACAGATGGTGGTCAATACCACGTACCATGGGGGGTACAGATAGTGGTCAATACCACGTACCATGGGGGGTACAGATGGTGGTCAATACCACGTACCATGGGGGGTACAGATGGTGGTCAATACCACGTACCATGGGGTACAGATGGTGGTCAATACCACGTACCATGGGGGGTACAGATGGTGGTCAATACCACGTACCATGGGGGGTACAGATGGTGGTCAATACCACGTACCATGGGGTATAGATGGTGGTCAATACCACGTACCATGGAGGGTACAGATGGTGGTCAATACCACGTACCATGGGGGTACAGATGGTGGTCAATATCACGTACCATGGGGTACAGATAGTGGTCAATACCACGTACCATGGGGGGTACAGATGGTGGTCAATACCACGTACCATGGGGGGGTACAGATGGGGGTCAATACCACGTACCATGGGGGGTACAGATGGAGGTCAATACCACGTACCATGGGGGTACAGATGGTGGTCAATACCACATACCATGGGGGTACAGATGGTGGTCAATACCACGTACCATGGGGTACAGATGGTGGTCAATACCACGTACCATGGGGGGTACAGATGGGGGTCAATACCACGTACCATAGGGGTACAGATGGTGATCAATACCACGTACCATGGGGTACAGATGGTGGTCAATACCACGTACCATGGGGGTACAGATGGTGGTCAATACCACGTACCATGGGGGGTACAGATGGTGGTCAATACCACGTACCATGGGGGGTACAGATGGAGGTCAATACCACGTACCATGGGGGGTACAGATGGTGGTCAATACCACGTACCATGGGGGTACAGATGGTGGTCAATACCACGTACCATGGGGGTACAGATGGTGGTCAATACCACGTACCATGGGGGGTACAGTTGGTGGTCAATATCACATACCATGGGGGTACAGATGGAGGTCAATACCACGTACCATGGGGGTACAGATGGTGGTCAATACCACGTACCATGGGGGTACAGATGGTGGTCAATACCACGTACCATGGGAGGGTACAGATGGTGGTCAATACCTCGTACCATGGGGGGTACAGATGGAGGTCAATACCACGTACCATGCGGGGTACAGATGTGGTCAATACCACGTACCATGGGGGGTACAGATGGTGGTCAATACCACGTACCATGGGGGTACAGATGGTGGTCAATACCACGTACCATGGGGGGTACAGATGGTGGTCAATACCACGTACCATGGGGGTACAGATGGTGGTCAATACCACGTACCATGGGGTACAGATGGTGGTCAATACCACGTACCATGGGGGGTACAGATGGAGGTCAATACCACGTACCATGGGGGTACAGATGGAGGTCAATACCACGTACCATGGGGGGTACAGATGGTGGTTAATACCACGTACCATGGGAGGGTACAGATGGAGGTCAATACCACGTACCATGGGGGTACAGATGGTGGTCAATACCACATACCATGGGGGGTACAGATGGGGGTGGATGACCATCCACCATGGATCATACCGTGTGTACTCTCACACCAGGAGCACATGGGGTCTGAGCCAGAGGTGTAAGCGCTACACCTCAGTCCTACTGACTTCCCTGACTCTGTGGCTCAGCCTTTGGACATTTTGAACAGGAATAGAGTCGTTGTTGCTCTACCAGGAGAAAAGTTAGGTCTCACTCCTCATATTACACATAAAATTCCCCTTGAGCAAGGAATTGAGTCATTGCTTCACAATCGATTTGAGAATGGTCCAGGACGGACCGAAACGTCATCGTCGCTTCACCTTCTAGTGTGTGGTCTGGTCAACATACTTTAGCTACGTTATTGTGACTTATTGCCTGCAGGAGCAAGGATCTATGTCTATCTATGTACCAGCATATCGTTTACCCTGTTCTCAGAGAGCAGAAGTCGATAGACTCATAGAGGAAATGTTGCAGAGTGATGTAATTGAGTGGAGTAATTCCCCATGTAACGCCCCATTCTTGTACCAAAGCGAGATGGGACTTGGAGACCTGTAATAGATTATCGCAAGCTTAACGTTAGATTTGTTGCAGGGATTCTGCTAGATCCCTCTTGAGGTCACCTTGAGGTGCTTCCGGGGCTTAATGTCCCCGCGGCCCGGTCGTCGATCAGGCCACCTTAATGTGGAAAGTAAACAATTCACAGCCTTCAGTACTCCCAATGGTCATTTTCATTTCAAAAGAATGCCATTTGGTTGTAGAGCGGTCCAATAACCTTTTCACGGCTCATGACGAATCTATTTCATAGATTGATAGGAAGTACTCTTCTAGTGTACCTTGATGATCTCATAATCATGTCCCAAGATGTTCAGACTCATTTCCAGAACCTTGAGAAAGTACTTACAAAGCTCGCTGAAGCTAATTTAAAAATAAAACTTGCAAAATGTTCATTTTTAAAGGAGAAGATTAATTTCCTAGGTCATACAGTTACACCTTCACGTATTACATTGAATGAATCAAAAATTATTGCTGCCCATGATTTTCCAACGCCTCGTACCGCAGAAGCCGAAAGTTCACAGGTCTTCTAGGATTTTATCGTTCATTTATTGCTGGATTCTCTATTATAGCAGCTCCACTTTTTGTTTATAAGTTGGAAAGGAAAGATGAACCCTTTGTTTGGGGAGAGGCCCAGGATCAGTCATTCCAAAAACTCAAGGCAGTCTTGATCTCATCACCCGGCCTTAGGTACCCTGATTTTTCTGAACCTTTTACGTTGGTCACAGCCCTGGAAACACAAACCGAAACTGTCTCTATTTTCCGCTTGTTACAACATGTAATAGAGTTGTTACATCTTGGCTTAACGTGTTTATGACGTATTAGAACGTTGTTACAACTTGTTATATTGGTTGTTATAACTGGTTAGGAGGTGTTAAAACTTGTTCGAACGTTGTACCAACGTCGTAGTTTCGGTGTGTGTTTGGCGGGAGATGCAAGTGACATAGGTCTAGGCGCTGCATTACTTCAAACAGAAGGTCACAGAGATCACACAATAGCTTATGCTAGCCGTATATCATCTAAAGAAGAGAAAAATTATAGCGCAACAGAACGTGAAGCCTTAGCAGTTGTCTGGGCGCTTAAACATTTCAAGGATACCATTTATAATTACCCAGTTCATGTTCCTACAGATCACCAAACATTAATTCCCTTGTTCACAAATAAGAATCCCATTGGAAAGTTTGGTAGATGTTGACCAGACCACACACTAGAAATTGAAGGGACGACGACGTTTCGGTCCGTCCTGGACCATTCTCAAGTCGATTGACCACACACAATTTCTAGTGTGTGGTCTGGTCAACATACTTCAGCCACGTTATTGTGACTCATCGCCTGCAAGTTTGCTAGATATTTGCTCACAATTCAAGAGTTCAATCCCACATTTGGTTATATTCCAGGAAAGCAAAATATTGTAGCCGATGCGTTTTCTTGATAAGTAGCTGCAATTCAGTTAAATTACCCAGCATTAGATGCTGCAGTAGTCGAGACGGAACAGAGACAACCCGCCAAACACACACCGAAACTACGACGTTGGTACAACGTTCGAACAAGTTTTAACACCTCCTAACCAGTTATAACAACCAATATAGCAAGTTGTAACAACGTTCTAATACGTCATAAACACGTTAAGCCAAGATGTTACAACTTTATTACAAGTTGTAACAAGCGGAAAATAGAGACAGTTTCGGTTTGTGTTTCCAGGGAAGACCCCATATGGGCACCCGTCATTAAATTTTTAACCAAGCAAGACACTCGCCCGATTCACAAACCTCCAGTACCATTGACAGAACTAGTTATGTTGGACAATTTACTGTGTAGAGTAGTGAAGCTAGGGACAGCCCCGAGGAAATGTTGTCAGTTAGTTGTTCCAGGTGTCTTGGTACTGTGTTAAAAATTATCCATGATGTTCCTGCAAGTGTACATCCAGGAAAGGATCGTACACTCCAACAAGGTCGATTGAAGTATTTTTGGTCCAAAATGGCTAAGGAGATGGCTCATTATGTTGACAGATGTTTAATTTGTTTACAGCCCAAGGGACATGTAGCAGGACCTAATCCAATTTATATGTACCCATATATGTATATGTATGTTATATGTACCGGGGGCCTCGTAGCATGGTGGATAGCGCGCAGGACTCGTAATTCTGTGGCGCGGGTTCGATTCCCGCACGAGGCAGAAACAAATGGGCAAAGTTTCTTTCACCCTGAATGCCCCTGTTACCTAGCAGTAAATAGGTACCTGGGAGTTAGTCAGCTGTCACGGGCTGCTTCCTGGGGGTGGAGGCCTGGTCGAGGACCGGGCCGCGGGGACACTAAAGCCCCGAAATCATCTCAAGATAACCTCAAGATAACCCAACGACTAAAGTTCCTTGGGAACGAGTATCGATGGATTTGTTGACCAATTTTGAGGAAAGAGATAAAAGGGACCAATCACTTGCATGTAATGACTGATAATTGTTCACGGTATTGCGAACTAGTTCCTATCCCGAACAAAACAGCAGATAATTGTCTTGAAATACTGTTCCAACCACATGCCATTAACACATATTAATAATTTTGTTAGGCACCAGCTTGCATTGTATTGTTCATACCTGGGGCCAGATTCATGAAAGCACTTACGCAAGCACTTACGAACGTGTACATCTTTCCTCAATCTTTGACGGCTTTGGTTACATTTATTAAACAGTTTACAAGCATGAAAACTTGCCAATCAACTGTTGTTATTGTTATAAACAGCCTCCTGGTGCTTCGCAGCTCATTAACTGTTTAATAATTGTAAACAAAGCCGCCAAAGGTTGAGAAAAGATGGACAGGTTCGTAAGTGCTTGCGTAAGTGCTTTCGTGAATCTGGTCCCTGAT